GGCTTGCGGGGCAAGCGCAATGAGCCACCGCTGCCCGGCGCAGAGCAAGAGAAGGTCCGTGGTTTTTTAGTCGACAAGAGACTGACACTCTCTCGCCTTACCCTGGGCGGGAGAAGTAATTTGATGATTTTCCCCTGACAAAAAAAAGGTTTCCTCACGATGTTTACCTTCACCGTATGTCAGTGGTGTCTAAATAACCATAGAAAGTACCTCTGAAAAAGTCACATTGGTACTTGCCAGGTTTCGAACCCACACCATGAGAAGCGGGCTCCTTAACATCCGAGCCACCACGACACGAAACACGAAACACCGCGACTCTGGGCGGCAGGAGAAGCCATTTGATGATTTTCCCCTCACAAAAAAAGGTCAAGCTCAGAGTAGTCTAAGCTTAAGACAAGTAAAATGCTATTTGATGATAGTACTAATTCTTATACATTTTATCAGGCCTAGGTAAAAATGAAATGGAATTCGTTCCCATTGAGCATTCATACACATATGTACATATTACCATGTATGTACATCGAAATAGTTATAAGACTATCCCTCTGACCTCTATTCTTGTAACAATTACGCCTAGCAATGTTTTAAACAAATAGCTTCATAACAAGGGTAAGGTCGCCGGCGGGTCTATTACCCAAGCGCTATTGAGGTCGCTTTCTCATTGTATTGTCTCCTTGGTTGCCCCCGCAGTGGTTCCGAAACCTTAAGCCCACATGTGTTAGTCTAATTATAACCGTCGTAGTAGATTTTTAATGAAGCTTCTATAAATAGAACCATTTTTGTGGGATCAGTAAGAATAGACCGATTACTTGATGGTAAGCAATCTGCACCGCCCATGGACAATCGCCACATCAAAAGAGTAAGAAGTGCATTGCCGGTTTTTGAGGGATGGCAGGAACTTGAAAATTAGGGGATTGAGGATACTCCCCTCGTCCTAAATCCTATTGAATTGAAAACTATTGGCCCTCGGCTCTCCGATTATTACTTATTTCTTATGAACTGCATCTTAAGTATTTGTCATAGGTCTAAATACGCACACTTACCCAAAAATCTATAACAAAGTAATAAAAAACACATTTAAACATAGCTTTTTCATACACACACTAATAAACAGCAGGTGTACCTAATAGTTTTGTTTATGGCAGTGTTATGAAAATTTAAAGTACCTCCCTAACATTTCTGTCCAATCTTACAATCTCATTTCGTTAAACAAACACGTAACAATTATACTGAATTCTTGTGAGTTGTTTGTCTGTTCGCTTGTCTATCAGGTATAATTCTGTACCATACAAGGCAGCAAGCCACGTGCGTAGGAAGTAAAATGCTGCTCATCCAAATATGTGAATCGCAAGGTCTCTGAGGTCGACGACCACCAACAATAAATTGTTTTGGTAAAACGATTAAGGACTCTTGACAAAATTAGTTGAATTCGTTAATTGTTTCCTTTCTTTCATGAGGTTTTTATACATGTGGAAAAATAGCTTGCAACCGTATTTGCGGCAGACTTGTGCAGAAAGATTTTCTTGGCAGATTTACAGTCTAATTGAGACTAGCTGATGGAGCGAGTGTTTTAATTCAAATACTTTAAGTAGCAAATCTATTTAAAACTGTTCAGAACTTCAAACATTAAATATTACTTAACTAATGCAATTTTTTTTAATGATTTCAGTCTATACGATGCTAATGAAATAATTCTTTTTTTTTAAGAACCATTGCCAGTTTAAAAATAAACATCTATCTTCAGAACTGTCCCAGAATGCGACAGCTATAGACAAAATTATTGCTATTTGGAAAGTGTCAATTTTACACGCAACAAGCGATTTACATAACGGGTCTTTTGAGTCGCACGATTCGTGTTGTGATTAACCAAATAAACGTGATTTAGGGTCTAACACCGTTAGGGCGTGGGCGAAAAAGTGCAAAGACCGAAAATATATAATCTGCAGTATAATCAAAATCAATCATTTGTTTCTGTGTTGCTTTAAAATTTAAATCTTATGAGAGGACGCCTGCACTGCGGTGCACTTGAACTCTCACAGGCTAGAAATGGTGATAATATTTTTAAGGATAGGTCAGGAAACGTGTTAGTGTATGAGCTGCTAGTAAGCCATCGGCGCCGACGATGGAGACCTGCAACACTGAAGAGTTACAAGAGCGTTGCGAGTCTTTTCGGGGTTAGGGATTGAAGGTAGGAAGGGATGGTAGTGTCGGGCTTCCTGGGTAGTATTCTGGTTTTCTATAAGAACGCGATATCACTGCGGTTAAGCCAAAACACGGCTCTCTGAATCGTAAGTTTTACTAACTAATTGTATAGTAATTAGTTGTTTTCATTGCGTACAATGTTAAAAGGTCTTTCGTCAAGGTGATATCAACTTAAAAATCAAAAATAGGTGCGACTTGATAGTAGAACAGGTTGGTGAGTCACCTGCGTCCAGACAGAAAGGCCAAATAAACTAAGAGTAAACTTGCAGAGCCACTCGCAACTCGCCTAGCGACCATTTTCCGTACAGCGATGAGTCATCGAGGAATTTCTCTGATTGCTACTAAGAATCATGCAGCTGTACCTACCAACTTGGTAGAATGTATGTAGCGTGTGGCTATGCAGTTTTTGTGCCGTTTACCTGGATTCGAAAGGCTCAGAAGTGAAGATCAAGGTTTAAAAATTACTAATTCTCAGTAATAAGATATGCGATATCCAATATCTAAAACACATAACGATATCCGCAGGGTGGCTGGCAGTGGTTGGATGAGAAGGGCTAAACATCGAGCTCAGTGGCGTGCATATTAAACCGGGTCCTGATTCTATTGGAGGAAATTCGTATTTCATTTTCATTCATTGTTTACTGTATATCCCTCGCCGTTAAGCCTATTATGCTTAAGTATTAACAGTACGAAAACAATAAACCGTTTTGTTGCTACAAATGTCACCAATCACTTCGCCATTTTTCACCTACGCGCCCCGGTAAGCGCGCGCGATTATTTTATTTATTTATAGTTATTATTAAATTGGTTTTGTTGGTAACAGGATAATTCTTATATATCCCCTAGTATGTGCTATGGTCGAAACTCGAATTATAAGCGCGACTGCGCCAATTTGTATAAAGCATCAATAAGCAATACTAAAAATGATTACCATTACAAAAAAATAACCTACAACATATTGCACAGTAAGATATGGGTACAGATGGCAGCACATCATCCTAGTACAATTTAGAAAATTTTCAAGGGGATTTGGGTAATACCTACTTACATAGAAAATATTATTATTACCTAATTAGGTAATCAATAATTTCATAGGTGTGCAGAATATATTTCAGAAGTTGAAATAGCTGTGTTGCTACAAGGAAATCTTAGCCCTGACCAACACTCTCATACTAAAAAAGATAGGGCTAAAAGACTAGGACCAAAGCCCAGGACTCCTGCATTTTTTCACTAACTCAAAAAATTGCAACAAGAGTTCAATGGACCAGTAATACAATGTGTATTTTATTAAATATGATTATTAAACATTGAGTTACTTGTCCCATTAAGAAATTATCAAAGAAAGACAATGACTCAATAACAAATACCTAAGGAAAAATATTTCAAAAATATACATATACATGTGTGTGAGTACATTTGAAACTGTATTAAGGCACTTGTTAAGTAACATTAGTAGGTAATAAAGATTTTAAGTTTTTAATTGTACATGTAATTGTTTAAAGGAAGTATATCAAGGTTTAATTACAGAGATATCATGTTTGTTTACAGATAAATTAAGCAAGGCCATATTAATTTTTTTTTATCTAAAACATTTCTTTGACCATACCTAATATTTGTAAATACAAAGTTGAATCTTATTTTAATTATAATTCAGTTTGTTATGGATTTTACTGTGAAAAACTAGGAGTACTTAGTTGGAAAACTTACCTTACAAGTAGATAATGAGTATTAGGTATCTTTTTTGTTTTTTTCGATGTTATCCACTTTAAAGTCTTGTTTCAGACGTGTTAAACGAATATTGTTGCATTCGAAATCTTCATTTGTGTGTGATCAAAGAATTATGGTAAATAACTCCGTAAAACAAAATGTAGTCAGTTTTCCGTTGCTACTAATGGTAAACCAAACGGATCTAAGTTATTAAAACGTGTTACCATGCTGCGTATTACAGACATAATAGCCAATTATTATACAAAACATAAAATCATGCAATTTTATGTTTATAAACTTAAATCAAACTTACCTTCGTGTAACTTAACACTAAAACTCAAAGAAATGTTTGTAAACACATACACTGTTGATTAAAATCATTTTAATGCTTAATTTGTGTAATTGTTCATAAACAAAGTTTTTAAACAATAATATTCACATCACAACAAAAACATTTGCGAACTTCTGAAAGTGCACACACAGACAATGCATTAGAGTAAACGTCAAGTGAGTACAATCAAAAACTGTATTTTGAAAATTATGTTCTTCATTATATTGTTTCTTTACCTGAACTTCAAATATAATATACCTTCAAAAGTTCAAAACAAAATCATGACATAATTTTTACGAGATTGTACAAAGTACCATTAGGAAATGGTTTAAAACATAGATATTTTCTCTTTTTTTTTAATATTGTCTTCTGAACGTGACGTGCAGGTGTGAGATTCGTTTCGTTTATAAAGGAAGCTAACTTTTTTATTGCACCTGTTCATTAAATTCATTTATGAATACAGTTTTTGCTGTTGAAAAATATGTCATCGTAAACTATGTCATTAAACAGTAATGTGCTTAAGGTAGCCAGGTTATGTGCTGTAAGTACTTTACATAATCAGCTTTTTTTGGGTGTATGAAGTTAGTTACAGTTTTAAGTTTAAGGTATTTGACAGCGATATTGTCAAAACAAATAATGTCACGAATTTCAAGAAAAAGTTTTGTTTACTTTCGATTGCCATGGCAACAAAAACGTAAATAGAAAGCCGCAAAGTTTAGTAAATCTTAAAATATTAGCATTTATGTGAACTATGGGAAGCATGACTCGTTGGTTAGACGTGGAAGTGGGAAATGATGATATAGATCTAAATACTCTTCCGCAAAACTTAGCTTTACTGGATTTACAAAATGACAATGAATTCAAACTCGTCGTAGGAGATTTTGGAAGAGGAGAAGAAGGACCTAAATTAAAGGTAAACTCAGTTTTTAACTTTAATTTCAAGATAATACTTAGCTCAGCTTAGGTCAGTGGTGGCCTTAGGAACGGATTTTCTTAAACTTTATTCATTTTCTCATTGTTTCTTCTTCACTTCTATCGCCTTTTTATGGTGCCACTTCATTCCTGTGGGTTGATTGTCAACTTTTTTGAACATCTCTCTCCGTCGTACGGGGTCGCTGCATTATGCTGAGCGTGGGCCATTTCGCGTGCTTGGACGCATATTTTTCTCCTACCGTCTACTTTTGTGATATTGTTTTTACCATGCTTAATGTATTTTTATTCTTAACTTTTATTTTATTATCTTGTTCGTTTTGTGTCTTTTATGCGTCCCAGACGCGAATAAATACTTTTTCTTTCTTTCTTTCTTTCTATCTCGTTGTTATTCACTGGGTTGAAAAGATCTTGTTATTCCCATGACAACTTAAAAAAAATACATTCTTTTCATCCTCAGATATTCAAAGGTGCAATGCAGATATCTGATACAGTGCTCCCAGACCTACCCCTTGGAGTTGTAGGGTTCTACATAAGTGAGACAGTACCTCGTTCTGTGCCTATTGTTGCTGTGGCCTACAGCTCCTGTATATTCATGTATCGGAACTTGAAACTGTTTTATAAGTATTATCTTCCATCAACGGAGCTTAGTATGTGTGAGATGGAGGTTTGGAAACAGGTTAGTGTTTGGTAGTGTTTATTTGTTAGCAATGTTCACTACTTATGTCTAAGAAAAAATTTGGCCAGTTATATGTATTTAAAACATGTTTTTTATTTCAAAATACCAGCACTAAGCTATTAGTTTAATTAGATAAAAACTAGATTCCTAGATAGATCTCTAAATCTCGAAACAAACTCATACTATTTTTTTCCTTTTTTAAAAATACCCTACACTTTGATTTTTTTCCTATGTTGTTGTGCATTTACAAAACATTTAGCAAACAAAGTGATTTAAATTGATTTTGAAAATAGACCAGAGAATAAAAAAAATCAACTTTGCCTTGATATTGCTTATTTTATTTGTATATTAATTAATCCTATAATTTGACTGCACGGTTGGTGCGGTGGCCGGGCAACTGGCTGCCGTGCAACGTGTCGCGGGTTCGATTCCCGCACGGAACAAGTCTTTGTGTGATCCACAAATTGTTGTTCCGGGTCTGGGTGTCATGTGCATGTGAAATTGTATGTTTGTAACCGCACCCACGACACAGGAGAAAATCCTACAGTGGGGCAACGTTTTTTTTAAAAGAAGAAAGAAGAAAGAAGAAATCCAGTTAGTATCTTAGTAATTACAGTTCATGTCAAAATTAACTACTTATGTCAAAAAATTCTCTATCAATCATCTATCAATAATATTTTTATGTTTCCAGTTAATAAACCCTACCAATCAAAATGCAGATGCAGTAAGACCACTTCTTGACAGTCTCAGAGCGATACCTCACGACCTTTTAACAGTTCAATCACAGAACCTTCTAGCTTTTACCACAGAGCAGCAATTAGAATACTTGGAGAATAATACAGAGTTACCAAGAAAGAAGAATGCGGAGATTGTGTGTATGAATACAATGAAGATGCACTCTATAGACAAATGGTCTGTCAGCTGTCTTGTGGTTGCTACTGAGGATGGAGATGTGGTGTTTCTGGATCCTCAAACCTTTAGTCAGTTGTCTCAGGTATACCTCTTAAAACAGATGAAAATATGTTCTAGTGGCTACATAAGTGTATAGGTGTCACAGGTACACGTAGATTCAAACAGATAGGAATGAGATTATAATATACAATATATTCAAATGCTTGGGTTGAAGGCGAAAAAATATAAAGTTACTTGTTATATTTTTTCTAATGATATTGTCACTGTTTTAATTAAAAACACTCATGAGATTAAAAAAAATATTAATTAATTACCTACATTTAAAGACTTACTGTCGTAACTGTAAAAACGATTACCTAGTTTCAAGCCACCCCCAGGGCTCATGTTTATAAGCAGCCTGCGCATTGCGAGATACACGCTTAGTATTGAACTGCTTTACTGACTAATGAACTGTTTTTCTAGGCCTAATTTACAATTATATTTGCTTTTGTCTAGGCAAAATTATGTGGTGTTAAGAAAACGCCATTCCAAATGGTCACATCAGGGCTGTACACTGTTGACTACAGAGTAACTATAGCGACGAGGTGTGACTTATAGCTATTCGTATTTTAGAGGCACCTATTTTAACACTAAAGTGCATGGCATTAAACACAGTTTAAAAAATATAGCACGACCTCTTTGCTAATTGCTTAATTGAAATAAAATACTAAAATAATGTTTGATGTGAATATAAAATTCGGAATTTAAAATCTTAAAATGAAATTAAGATGTTAATAGGTCATCTACGTTTCATTTTAATGGGGTAGTTTCCTAGGTCAAAAATAAATCAATTTTTTTTTTAAAGATTAAAAACGTTGCCCCACATTAGGATTTTCTCCTGTGTCGTGGGTGCGGTTACAAACATTCAATTTCACATGCACACGACACCCAGACCCGGAACAACAATTTGTGGGTCACACAAAGAGTTGTTCCGTGCGGGAATCGAACCCGCGACACGTTACACGGCAGCCAGTTTCCCAGCCACCGCACCAACCGTGCAGTCAAAAATTCGACGTTTCAATACAATAAAATATTGAAGAATGAGTAAACTTTTATTTATAGATCTGTCGATACATTTATTTTCGAAGTTTGCAGCAAATTTTTAAGAAATTAGTACCTAAGCTCTTTGAGTCATAAATATTATGACGTCCTAATTTGGAGTTTCATAGAATATTTTTTTTTTTTGACATCAGGATAAAAGTATTAAACTTGACTAGTTGGAAACTACCGTATTCAGGTCAAGTTGTAGTACTTTACAGTTTTCCTGGTAGGTAACACAAATTACACATGCCACCTGCTTTATCCATTGTTTTTTTTTCATGTCACAAATAAACTTATTTGCAAATCAAAAACTTATAGCTTTTTTTAGGATTGAGATGACCTCCTTTGCTTTTAATAATGTTATTTTTTCTGCTTTACAGAGAGAAGACAGTGTGTGTATTGAAAAGGGATTGGGCAGAAGGTCGCATTCTCTTCAACACCGATGACCATATCATCGCCATCGAAGTGGTGACGGCAGACAGCAGTGTGATGGTTATCTGTGCTGATCATACCATGGCCTGTTATAATAAGAAGGTAAATAAGTAGGATTACCTATTTATAAAATATAGCATTCTTGATGCTCTGTAAGAAGAGAGAGCAACAATAATTGAGCCTTTTGTGTACTTACTCAAATCTTTTTTGCCTGAAACTTTGACAGATTTTGTGATTGGGCATTATGTATTACTATTTACTCCCGCGCGGTTTCAAACGTTGCTCTTCTCCTATAGATCGTAGCGTGATGTTTTATACTATAAATGGACCAAAAAAAAAAAAAGGAATTTTTCAATTTTCACCAGTAGTTCCGACAAACGAACAAACTCTTCAGCTTCATATTTTTATAGATTATTTTTTAATATGAAGCAAACGTAAAATTAGCGCTCCCATTTTAAATCCAAATATTTATTGTATTCAGTGCAGGTTGCGGGGCAAGAGTGTGAAACAAGCGCAATAAGGTTCCGCAGCCTCGGCCTGGAGCGGGCGTAGGAACGGGGTTTTTTATGGAATAAGTCGGCAGACGAGCAGACGGATTATCCTATAGTAAGCAAAACCCATGCACACCCGTAACATCAAAGGGGTTACGAGTGCGTTGCCGGTCTTTTGAGGATAATGATTGTGGATATAAGGATTGAGAAGAGGTAGGGGAGGGGAGCGATTGGGCCTCCGGTAACCTCACTGACACGGCAAAACACAACGCTGAGGTATTCTGTGAGGCCGTGGTATCCCTCCGGTCGAGCCTAACCATTCGTGCCGAATCTTGGCTCTCCCACACTTGGTTTTCATAAGGAGTCATTAAGAGTTTCGACACGCCTTCTTGCCTCACCCTCCTGCTTTTACATATTAAAAAATGGCATTTAATTTTATAAAATAAAAAAAAATCTTGTCCTATTTTTAATTGTATTCACGTCCTGTCTTTTCATCAAGACATTTTGTCTTCTATTTTCAGGGCAAGAAGCAGTGGTGTTTGACACTAGAACACCGCCCAGTCGCCATGACACTTGTCCCAGTGCTTCACCTCGGTGTCACGTTGACGGGGGTGGCGCTAGCGTCGGGCCATGTGCACTTGTATGATGGGAAGTCTAGGAGGGACACTGTGTTTGTGAGAGGTGAGTATCTGAAAGATTTTTTATACTTCTTATGAGATTACTGTAGGAAGACCAATTTTCGGCACAATTGGGTAGTTTCCTAGGTCAATTAAATTAATTCGACGTTTCAATACAATAACATATTGAAAAATAACTAGGTATACTTTTATTCATCGATCGATTGATACACTACATTTTAGATATTTTATAACTAATTTTTAAGAAATAAGTAAGCTATTAGACGCAAAAATACTATGACGTCAAACCTCAGTTTTTCATACAAATTTCATAGTAAATTTATTTTATTTGTCCATTTATTTCAGGCATCGAAGGCCCATATAAACATATACAATACTATATTTTCTAAAACTTAACAATACTATAAATATAAATATATATTCAGGTAAAGTATAGTTTTTGATCTTTGGATAAGAGTATTGAATTTGACTAGTCGGAAACTACGGTATTGGGCCATAGGTTACACAGGAATTGGGCGTAGAGCAACGGTTGCGTTTTTCGCGGTGCGGTGTGAGTAAAGTCGCCCGAAGGCCAATTTCTCCTCTCGGAATTCTCGAATCCCCTTACCCTTAACTACCAAATCTGTAAAGGGCTTGCAACACATTTTGAAATCCTCTTGTGTCGCTCTTGACTACGCGTTGGGACATCTTGATCAGGTTAGCACCTCCATAGGCATCAAGAGTGCGTTGCCAATCATGAATTTAGAGCAAAATAACTGACCGCATTATTATTCAGTGTTATTTGTAATCGATTCAGGTAATTTAAAAGTGAAAATAAAAAAATAAAAAATAAAATTAATAATGTTTTCCTCAATATTTCAGATGTGGTATCCGTGATGAAGTTTGGTCAATTAGGTCAGGAAGAACATGTTCTCATCATTATTACTGGGGGTAAGTGCTGACCTTGTTTTCCGAAGCTTTTTCTCAGGTTGGGCAAAGTGTTATTGTATTACAATTCTATTACTAATCACCCGACGTAATTTTAGACTACATGTTACAATTGGTTTTTTTTTATTTCGTAATCAACAGGCATTTTGGCTACTATCACGCCTGGTGGTAAGTGAGGATACGACCTATTATGAAACAAGCCTACCCATAAGCAAACTATTCACTCGGACCTTAAAGGCGCCCAGGTTGTACCCTTCGGGGAACACAGTCTCCGGCAAAGAATTCCGGTTCTTAGTGTTCAGATTAAATTAATACTGGATGTCGGATTTTTGAAATGCCAAAAAATCCCTTAATACTTTCTTAACTGACTCTGTATTGGAAGCGAATATTACCTACCTTTAGCTTGTCATTTCTGCTTACAACCAATCAGAAAAAGATGCAACCATTTATTATACATAATTAAATAATATTTCAAATTTACAGGTGGAAATCTGATGCTGAAGATTTTGAAGCGAACAGCAGACTTCAGCGCTCACGCAGCCGGCGTAGAGATATCCCCGAGCGGTCCTACTGGACAGAAACCCTGGCTCATACCTAAGAAGTCCAAATTGTTTCTAGAACAATCCGCTAGGGAGAGAGAAAATGCTGCTAGTAAGTGAAAATAAGCTCTATGTGTTCTGGAATAAAGTTTGGTTTTGCGTAAATATTTAAAAGTCATGACGACTTAAATAGTTATTTTTTTTGAAAACATTGTCAAGGTCACAAAGTTTAAGTTGATGTTATACAGTAGAATCTGAGTATGCATTACTTATAGTTTTCTTTATGTTCAACTATTAGTACAAACAATATTATTATAGGTATATCATACATAGTTTTTAAGTGTGCTGAAGCACGAATTGAGCAGCTCGACTGTCATGCAAAAGCTGGGTGAAATAAGTACTACATTGTATCTACTAATTTTTTGGGAGGGGAGGGCTTCGTCTTGTTCGATGTTGCAACCACAATAACGTACCGCGGGCCCGTAGACCGTGAGTCTAAAACGCCCTCTAACCTAATCCATGGCGACAGAAGCCAACGGTTGATTCATCCATCAAGGATAAAAAAAAGTGTTGGTTATACTACTCCAATATTAAATCATGATATAGCTTAGTGTTACTGATGATGTGTATCTCATTTAATTACTTGGTGTCCATTGTAGTGATGCACGAAACGTTCCAACACGAGCTGAACAGACTGCGCCTGCTGGCGGCCAGGACGTTGCTGGAGGCGCACGTGCGCTCCGACAACTCCGTGGGCACCGGGCCTATGGGAGACATGCGGCTTACTGCTGAGGTAACCAATACTAACTATACTGCTAATTAGTATAAAACAAAGTCGTTTTCTCTGTCCCTATATCCCTATCTATACTTAAATCTTTAAAACTACGCGAGTAAAGCACTTTAATTGGGATTTTTTAAATAGATAGAGTGATTAAAGAAGATGGTTTGTTGTGTGATCCACTAGGTCTAGGCAACTGGCTACCGTCCGCCCCGTGGGTTTGTTCCCGCACCTACAATATGTCACTACTTGTTAATGACATGTCACAATGGTCAAATTCAATACTTTTTCGAACTAAAAATAGGCACTTTTCTATTGTGATACTTACGGCGGACGTCATAGTTTTTGCATCAAAAAGCACTTATTAAATTCCTAAAAATTTGCAACAAAGATTTATAAGATGATATTAAGTAAGCCGTTAAAGCGTTGGAAGGCTTTAAATCAAATCAAACCAAAAATTAAAAATGGTGTGCGTATCTATTGAACTATTTTATTTTCGTTTGGTGTACAAACAACCACTCTACCTGACGAGCTCCATCATTGGCAGCATCATTGATAACCACTAGGCAGAGTTATGGCTCACTAGCTTGCACCCGCTGCTTCACCCGCGTGGTATGTTGATAAGAAGTAGCCTGTGTCCTATTCCGGAGTGTATCCTATGCCTGTACCTTTCATCCAGATCCGTCCAGCCGTTATGGCGTGATTGAGTAACAAACATCCAAACATCGTTACTTTCGCATTTATAATATTAGTAAGATTGCATAATGAAAACCTCTTTTTAGGTTGAAGGCCTTGGCCCAGTGTTCCGAGTAACGTTGATAATAGAGAACAATTCCAAGGAGAAGGCGGTGATCGGGCTCGCGATACTGTTCCATGTGCATACCGTCAATTATAAAGTCTCCAATCCTTATGTCAAGGTAATTGTTATTTTACAAAGCTCTTGTGAACATCAATAGATTTAGCCATTAGTATTTAATCCTTGTTTAGCAGCAAGAGTGGACATCTTCTGGCTGATGATCATCATGATGACAATGATTGTGATAATTGTATCGTTATTCATCGAAGTTCGTCGTATATTGCTGCTATATTTCGTTTTGCGTCAGCGATGAGGCAATTCGACAAAGCAATGTATTACGAACGCATGTCACGTCGCAGATTTAACTCTTCTGGTAAAATAGTATTTGACAAACAGCTAAAGATGTCGCAACCATAATGATCATCGTCAGCCTGAAGACATCCACAGCTGAACAATGGCCTCCATTTTGAATGATACCTCGCCACCAGCATGTTGCAATGTATAGGCATGACTTACCTGACTTACTAATAAATAGGCACAACGTCGAAGAAATATCATTTACCGAAAGTAGATTTCTGAGAATTGAATCTTTGATCCAATTCTTAATTAGCAATTTACATCTCAGGTACCTCTCCTCTCGCCTGGTGGAAAACTGAAGTTTCCAACAAAAATTGAAGAAGTGTTCGACGACAATATAAGCCCTGACGTTCTATTTCGTCCTGTGACTGGACAAGGAGGGGAACGATCTCTAATCAAAGTGCTCTTATTGAAGGAGGGCAGAAAAACTCCAGTACTTGCAGCTACTGTACAAATGCCACCTACAGACCCAATGATGTTACCCTTTGATAAAATGCAGACAATCGCTGGAATTGACTCTAATGAGGACCCGAATTGGGCTCCAAAAACTTGAGTTAACAAGGGTTATTTTAACGCCATCTATTGACCAGCCTGTATACTTGTGATGTGCGATAAAACTACGAGATGGCGTTGTTAGATATTTTTTACACAATATTAATATGTAAAATTGTGTGTGATAAATGTGTACATAAAATACTCTAAAATAAAGTTGATATTATTCTACTGCATTTACTATGTATTTTTTTTAGCGAGCTGCCTATCTTTATTGTTTTTGAATGAAATAATACCTTCCTAAAAACTTCCCACCAGACAGCCCGTAATTTGACCGCCATCTTCGAATAAGACAAAAAACAAAGTTACAAAAAATACTGCGCTATAATCGTAGCGCCATTAATTTTACACATAGCATAACGTATAGAATAGATATCGAACATTATAGTGAACACTTCAAGGATTATAGTTACACAATGATAACTATAGGTAGGTACATACTGACACGTTATCAAAGTTAATGTTATGGACATGTCGATAAACATTTTGTAGCATAATAATATCAGATAATTGGTACCTTCTCTAAATGTATGCAGGTGTTCTTAATCTGCCTAAGGGCTGATTTTTCAATAGTTAGATAAATGCTATCTGAGAAATAAAATTGTTGCTGTCACTGTCTTATACAAACATTCTGACGCGACAGCATCATAATTATTCCCCAGACAACTTTTATCTAACCATTGAAAAATCAGACTATGTGGTCAGTTCTACGGGACATCATACAATTAGGGAGTTTCAGACTCTTACTGTCAAGAAACGACAATATTCCCTATCTCTCTTCAAGCTGGTCCGCAGTACATTACTGTGTTTACATCTGCAACTGCTAGAGGGCCATCATTTGTCTGATGGTGCTGGCGCGGTGCGCGTTGAACTCGACGCGCCAGCTCTTGTTCTGGGCGGGTGAACTCATTTGATGATTTTCCCCTCACAAAAAAAGCTTTTGTTTTGGTCGAAGGGCGTTAGTAGTAGTTACCCTTAATCGCTGTATGCAGACCTACACTTATAATGCCAGGTGATTATTGTCGGGCATCACAGTAAACATGGTAAACTTACGCCGAAAAAAATCACAACGTGCAACAAGGGCCAACCAAGCTTTTTATAAAATAGTATTTTTATATCTTGCGCCATCTACCGGCAATGCTGGTAGAAAGTTGCGGCTTCCGTGACAATAGGTAGGTACTTGATAGTCACAACTCAATTTTATTTGGTGATCACTTTCTACCGTAGATACTGGCCAATTGGTCACACAAGAATTTGTGTTAAATCCGTTATTGAACTACTCACATAGTTGAAATTCGGTTTTCTTAAAACATTTGTAATGGCGGGTTTGCTAACATTTTTTGGTTGCTGTAGCTACGACTTACCTACTACTAGCTTAATATATCAGCTTAATTGACCTCTAAATAAGTTGCTAGGTATAACAATGACCTTTATAAGGACAAGGACATCATCAGTTATGCATAATCAGTCCACTATCTAAAGCCAGGATCCGAAAATACCCGATAAACAGCCGAATAAAACCGTGTTATCTATGTTCTAAAGTAAGTATGTAATATACAGGACTATGTATTATGTATGGCTACGTTTTAAAGTTCCAGTATCTCCTTGCGTCACAATTTTCAAATAGATTTCGATTATGACATCCAATCGTATTTGGATAAGACAACTGCGCAGTGTTCTTTGCGCCTAGTGCAAGTTTGTTTTACGTTATGGGGCTTTTTAGAGGCAATTTGCCATTTCAGAAGATCTCTTCTCTCTCTACCCCATTCCTTCTCCGGCTCATATTTTTTTTTTATGTGGTAGGTCGGCAAACAAGCTTACGGATTACTTGCTGTTAGGCAATAAGCGCCGCCCATGGACACCCGCAGCAACAGATATAGTTCTTTACGAGTGCGTTGCCAACATTTTGGGGATAAAGGATTGGGGGAGGGGAAGGATTCGGCCTCCGGTAACATTACAGACACGGCGACACACAACGCTGTTGTTGTTTCACTCTGGTTGAGCCGACCCATTTCTGCAGAAGTATCGCTTTTCCACACTTGCTCAATAAAATACCTATCTCTTTATTTATTTATTCATTTAAACAATCGGCGATTGCTCATTTAAGAAATGAAAAAGACAAAATTCGTTTGGGAACCTCTGCACTTGAGAATTTGCCGGATCTGCATACAGCGGCTCGATCTCTCCTCAAAAGGAATTATCCGTTGCCGGCTTTTTGAGGGTTGTTGGGGATTTCAGGATGGGGAGGAAGGGAATGTGCCTCCGGTAATATTACGATCACGGTAAAACATAACACAAGCGTATTCTGTGTTCTTCGAGTCGGTATTCTGTGAGGCATTTTTTGTCAGGGTATAAACATCAAATGACTTCTCCTGTCCGGGGTGAGGTGGGAGGAAGTATCAGACTCTTTTTGTCTAAAAACCATCCCATTTCTTATCCTGCTCTAGCTCAGGGCTGCGGTGCCTCATTGCGCCTAAACCGTAACGTCGGGTATTTTATGAGGCTGTGGTCCCGGCCCTTCACACTAATTTAAATTGATGCACGGTTGGTGGGGTGGCTGGGCAACTGGCTGCCGTGCAACGTGTCGCGGGTTCTCGATTCCCGCAAGGAACAACTCTTTGTCGTTCGTAACCGCACCCACGACACAGGAGAAAATCCTAATGTGGGGCAACGTGTTTTTTTTTAAATAGATAAGTATCTAATACCTAGATACTGAGCTGTCTCACTAACCTATTCCGAAAAATATCAGTAGGATAATAATGTTAGTAATGCATTGGAAATGTTTTATCACTTCACTGACTAAGTAAGACACTGACTAAGTACCTAATCAAATACGATAAGGATTCCTTATAAAAAAAGTATTAACAGCAAATCGGTTTTTTATTACCGTTTTCCCTAATTACCTATGACGTCATTAGTTTGAATTATTTATAAAGTGTTTTTCATTAGTCGAATTTAAAAAGTGTGTCTAATTTTAGAACTGCTCTTTCTTATTTTTATTTGATAAGATTTGAATAGTGGCGCGAAACTATTGATCACCGACTAAAAAGTGAGTGAGCTGGAATAATAAATACAATATACATTAACTAAACTCATACATAAGCAATCATCACTCTGTTGAGTCTCCTCTAGACGCGCTGCAAAGCCAATAGACCACCACACATTACACAGGGTCCAACAGCCGATGTTTTGCCAGTAATGCGGGGTACCCTGGGTGAGAGAAGTCATTTGATTATTTTTCCTCATCAAATAAGTAGGTATGTTCATTTACAATAAACATACGGCAAACTACAACGTAGTACATTATTTATTTGCAGCTGGGGTTGCTGGTGCAAGCGCATAGATGTATCGAGGTGCTGCTCACTATCGCCCTATCCAGGGTAAGAGAAGTCGATTAGTCGACGCATCTCACTAAAAATGTTCATAAGTATTTATCTACCTAAATACATAATTTAATAAGTTCCTTAAGTAAAACTTTAACAGGACATGCTGGACATCAAATCTAAACTAATATTATAAAAGCGAAAGTAACTCTGTCTGTAGGTATGTCTTTTCTTCAAGCCTAAACTACCGAACCGATTTCTGTGATATTTGGTAGCTTGGAACTCGAGAAAGGAAAAGTTTTTATACCAAAAATCTACAGGAGGTCACTATACCACGCGTGCGAAGTCGTGGGCAAAACCTAGAACCATAATGTATTCATTGGTTTGAGTTTCCAAGAAATTGTCAAAAGTCGGTTCATAGTACCTACCTACGAATCGAGTGATTAGCACTTCAATACTCGTACGAGAACGAATACAAGAGAAAAATAATAATTTATGAGTTAACCAAGAGAATTGACGTGTATCAGAACCGGTTTAGGTATAAGATTTTAGTTGTAAAAACCAAAAACTTGTTTTCTAACTACAGTCTGCACGGTCAAAAAAATTATCGCACGCAGCGTAGTTACCTATTATAGGTATTTTCGAAATAGGTATGCAGATACGAGATTTGATTTAGGAATGTTTTGTACGATTGGTTCTATCAGTACCTCAAATTCTTACCAATTTGGTTTGTCTTCTTTTTATCCGATTCGTTTTTCTTTTTTATTTTTACCGTATCTATCATTAAAAGTACTTACTTTAGGTATAAGGTAAGGTTTTCATGAATAATTTTGTTTAGAACTTGAGGCACCGACTTCAAATCTATTCATGGGTCTGGGTACACATTTCAATATAAAATGTAGTATTTCTTGCTTTTCTGTTTTTTGCGTTTGTTTTTTTTTACTTTCTTTCTTACTTATACTCGATCGAAATCAATATGACTAGTTTAAAGTTATACCCCTATGTAACCAGATTCTTGCTTAATTTCAAGGCCTTAATTACTTATACATCAATCAAATTATGGGCAAGTCGATTTTTGTCCTTTTAGAATTTTTTTCAACTTTCTTCATAAAAATTGGCGACCTTATTTTATGGCGTCGGGACATCGTTATCACTGGTTTTAACACGTAATCGGAGCTTCAACTTGAAGATAATCGGGGCTCCGACTTGTAATCTACCGATTAAGTCTGAAATAACTACGAGCAATGATAAATAATACTACTACGCGCGTTCTTCGATAAGGCGACGCCGGCCGACTTATTACTTAAAGGATTACAAATACAGCTAATTATTATTGGCTTAAAACGGGCATTATGCGTTCTTATTTAAAGGATTGCATTGCATTTTGCTGAAAATAATTGGTTTTCTGCCCACAAAATATAATCCTTTGTGTTGAGAAGGACGAAGTGTGGCAGAGCCATGCTTCGGCACGAATGGGTCGGCTCGACCGGAGTGATACCACGGCCTCACAGAAAACCGGTGTGAAACAACCACAGCGTTGTGTTTCGCCGTGTGAGTGAGGTTATTACCGGAGGCCCAATCCTTCCCCTTCCCGGACCCTTCCCCAATCCCTAAATCTCCAAATCCCTAATCCCTAAAAGGTCGGCAACGCACTCGTAACTCCTCCGTTGCGGGTGTC